TATATATATATATATAACAAAAATATATATATATATATATAACAAAAAAACAAAAGCAAATATATATAATAAACAAGAAAACAAATATATATAATAAACAAACAAAAACAAATATATATAATAAACAAACAAAAACAAATATATAAAATAAACAAACAAAAAAAAATATACAAAATAAAGAAACAAAAAGAAATATATATAAAAAAAGGCATACATGTATAATAAAAAAACAAAAAAAATATAATTAAAAAAATACAAACATATACTAAAAAAAACAAAAACAAATATAAAATAAACAAAGAAAAACAAATATATATAAAAAAAACAAAAACAAATATATAAAATAAAGAAACAGAAACAAATATATATAATAAACAAAAAAACAAATATATATAATAAACAAACAAAAACAAATATATAAAATAAAGAAGCAAATATACATATAAAAAAAAACAAATATATATAATAATAATATATATATAATAAAAAAACAAAAACAAATATATAAAATAAAGAAACGGAAACAAATATATATAATAAACAAAAAGACAAATATATATATAATAAAAAACAAAAACAAAAATATATAATAAACAAACAAAAACAAATATATATAATAAACAAAAAAACAAATATATAAAACAAAGAAACAAAAACAAAAATATTTAATAAAAAAAGAAAAACAAATATATATAATAAAAAAACAAATATATATAATTAAAAAATAATAAATATATAAAATAAACAAAAACAAATATATATAATAAACAAACAAGAACAAATATATATAATAAAAAAACAAATACATATAATAAAAAACAAATATATATAATAAAAAAAACAAAAATATAAAATAAAAAAACAAACAAAAATAAAAAATAAAAAAACAAAAACAAGCTGTAAGCGGCTGGGCCCCCTCATGCAGCAGGAAGCAGCGGAGGCGCCCAAGAAAAAACAAATAAATAAATAAATAAATAAATAAATAAATAAAATAAAATAAATAAAATAAATAAAATAAACAAAATAAATGAATAAATACACACAGCTGCTCTGGGGGGCCCCCACCTGCGCATGCGCCTGGGGGGCCCCTCCTTTCTGCTGCTGCTGCTGCTGCTGCTGCTGCTGCATGTGTTGCTGCTGCTGCTGCTGCTGCTGCAGAGAATTATAAAAAAAATAAAAACTGAATGTTTCTTTTAGAGTGTCTTGGGC